GTGATATTAAACTTATATTAAATCAGGAAGCAAATCCTTTATTTAATTTTCAAGGTGTTCAGGGTTTAGCATTAACTCATGATGGTGGACTTCTTATTACTGATTATAAACGAAACGGAAAACATCGTTTATTTATTTTTGCTTAATTTTTTTCTCTAATGTGTTTTTTTAACCATTTGTGCAATACGATTTGAATATTCTGTTTTGTTTGTTTGTCAGTGATTTTTTTTAAAACTAAATATTAGATATTGATGCTTTATTCATAAAAACAGATATTTGATAGAAATATTATTCTACAGAATAAGGTTTTTAAATAGAAAAAAAAAGACATTCGAATGTTACAAGGTGAAAGGCTGATAGGTGTCAGTCATAAACGAAAAACAAAAATACTATATGAATTGTTTCGAGTTTACCTCCGAAACTGTATTTTATTCATGGAGATGATTGAATCGGAATACTGACGTCATTTTTATTAATTTATTGTTGTAAGAAATATCGAACTTGTTCTCGCTGAATTTAAATGTCAGCAGAAATAATGAAATAAATTTTTTCATAACAATAATTATCTTTCTTGACATTTTCATCTTTTTCGATGTATACATAGTTAAATAACAACTAAAAATTATTCAAGATGAATGAAAATATTGTTAATTTTGTTTATTTGAATTATTGGTTCAAAAGAAAACGATTTTTCATGTTGGCCAAATATCTTATAAGTAGAAATTTTGTAGATGCTACAAATTTTCTTAGTTATTCAATGTGTATATATAAAACTTTTTTTTTAATTTTTTTTTCTTTATGATTTCAGCACAAAATACAATTACTTTTTGTTGCTACTTCGGGCTACTAAAAGTTTTTATTATATAGGTTCAAACATTAATGTTCAACGTTAAGAGTTCGCAGGAACAGAACGCACGTTGTTGGCAACACTTTTTCAAACTCGGCGTCTTGATGTCATCAAAAGTTTTGTTTTTAAAATGTCTGATGAATTTTTCAAATTATAGTAGTCGTAGATGTTTCATTCATAGAAGAAAAATATTTGGGTATAATTCTCAAACGAATTTTCGAAAGTTTTTCGAGGTCGTTAGTCGTCTAGTCTTGGTAATCTTTATTCATAGTTTTGATTCATTCCTAAGACCTTCGAATGCAGTCAGTACTGTTAAAATAGAATTGTTTCTTGTTTCATCAATGAATTCATTTGATTATGTTTCTACATATTATGCCTCAAACATCGTTAGTTTTCAAGAACAATTACTATTGGCTAATTGAATGTTTTCGGTAGATATAAAAAATGTTAAAACTAACTCCGAATACTTCAAAACTTATATATCATTATTTGTTTTAAAATAGCTTTTAAGTCCAAAGGAAAATATTTGGTTATATGTATTTTCTAGATTTCATTAATTATTTGCCTATTTAGAGTTCTACGTGGCTTAAAATCACGGTGAAACAATCAAGTTTTGAAGAATATTTGGAAATACAATATGATATTTTACAATATGTTATGATTGATCATAATTTTTTTCCATGTATTCCAATTGATATGTCATTTTTAATACAGAAATAAATAAATTTCAATCATGTTTCTATTTTTTTCGATTTATTTTTTGGTAAAAATAACAAACCTCAAAGAAAACTTGATTTATTCGAAAAGTATTTCTATGAAACATATTTTACATTATTTTGACAAATTATCATACAACAGAAAATTACAATTATCATTGAAAAACGATTGATAATCATTGATAAAAAATGTCCTATAATAAAAAAGGATAAATGATTAATGATATTTTTCATACTTTTCTTGATGTAGGAGCTTGAAAGTTTTATCATTTGTATATCTAATTATAATCTCTAATTTACCGAAGTTTCAGCTCTCTAGTTGCATCATCTATATTTCTTGACAGCTGATATTCATAAATACCTGATAAAAAAGAAAACTTTACAAAAGAAGCCTTTACTCAAATATGTAGATTATAATGAAATTCAATGAGTATGAAAATGTTTGACATTGTTTTCTATGATTACTTTGAATCAAACAAGTATTTCATTCATCATTTTGTACATTTTTCTTTCAAAAAGTTTTTGCATTCGTTTATATTTCCTTTTTCCGACTGTGATGAGATATTAAACTCTTTCGTTCAGTATATTCCACACATGTTCAATTATTCATACATCAGCAAACTTAGGGCGTGGGTGTGGGTAATGTAGGACCAACATTCCAAGCCATTACTCGCACATCCACACCCATCCTAGTTCAACAAAGACTTGGTACTGTGAATAATTATGAGAATGATCGCCTATGCCTTTCGGCACGACGGTGTCTTGTGTCGTCTACACTCTCACAACTGTCTCTTTCCGTCTATTAAACACGCCTCATATATTAGAAGGAGCGGTCACATATGAGAGAACACAGATAGAGACAGAAGGTCAGTGCTAGGTGAAGAGGTCATGATATAAAGGAGAGTGAAAATAGAATAAGTGAAGCATAACGGTCATTAACCGTTACAGGTACTACTTGGTCTTCTCTAATGTCTTCCAGCAATGGGTCTTGAACATCAAAAAATTAATTCGAGGTGAATTCGATTGTTGAACAGAGTTTTCATGAAAATCATTCTTATCCCATGTGTTGTTGGATCAAATACTCAAGGTGATTGGAGTAATCCGCAATAAATCAAGTTGTTGAAGAAAATTTTACTGAAATTAGCCTCACTTCACGAGTTCTTCAAACAAGGGATCAAAATCAAAGAACAGTTTCCAGGTGAATCAAATCGCGGAAAAGAATTTTTTTTAAATTCATTTTTATCTCATGTGTTGTTTGATGTAGTGTACCACTTGAAAAGGCTAATGCGAAGTGTGTCAAACATCTGAACGGAATTTATCTATGAATTATTCTTACCCCATGTATTCTTTGATTACGTGGTTGACATGAAATGATAAATTCGAAGTAAATCAAATTGCTGAATAGAGTTTTGATGAAAATAATTCTTCCCACGCGTGTAGGTGAATCAAGTACCGAACATGCAATAATGCATTCGAAGTAATTCAAGTAGTTGAATTCTTTTCTGAACATGTTTGTTTGCGCAAGTGATATTTAGTCTGGTGGTCATTGTGAAGTGTTATCACTGTCGTGGTTGCAATGGAATCTTCTCTCGTCTGTGGTGTTCGGATATTTAATATTGTCGTTCTAATCTAACTGATTAGTACTTATCTGTTTATCGCGTCGGCTTTGTTTTGGAGTATGTTGCACAGTGAGGACCTTTCGCATGACCACGCGGACATATGACTTTTTCGCACGAAAATGGTTTTTATTTGCTCAGAAATGATCATATATCCCTCAGGAAATCATTTTCAAGAACAAAAAAATGTTTTTTGAAAAATATACGTGGGGGGAGCACTGCCCATGTTTTGGAGAAATTTTGTTTTTGAAAAATCTCTTGAGTCTTATATCATTCGACGCAGTTTAAAGCGCTGATTCTGAATATCACCTTGGTTTTTCTTCAAAGTGTAACACGAGTGCCTAAAACGGGATTTCCGGCCAGAAACCTTGGGTTTTTGGACATTCTGTAAAATAGCCTAGGAAAGGTTTCACGAGTTTGCGCTGCTGTCATAAGTAGGATGCGTACGTTAGAGCATCTGGTAAAAATTTGAGCCCGCGCGGACGTTATCCCTTTGTAGCGTTTACAATATACGAAACGGTACGTTTTCAGATAGATTTTGGAGTTCGAGATCCTTTGTTTTCTACTCTATATTTAATTGGACTACGATAATTCTTTTTTAACATAAAGTCCACAGCTAAGCAAGTGTTTTGCGATATTGTTTGCTTGTGGAATATTGTGTTATATTGCCGAGCGGCTTGACTTTTTTCATGTATGTCGATTTCTGGACCCAAGCTTTGTAAGGGTCTCTTCTAGGGCTCTATAAAACTTTGAGAACCGCTATTTTAGGCAATGATGAATCACATATTTTTCGCATATGTCCGTCTGGCTTCTCATTTTGCGCGGGAGTCAAATCATATATGCAGTATTTCAAAATTGCTTCTTACTGCGGTGATGAAAAACTGCAGTTTTAAAATATCGAATATATGGTCTGATTTTCGTGGCAGAAAAAAAAACGGCTAAAACTGGTTTTATTCAAAAACGTTTTCCATGGGTTGTGTATTCAACCAAAAATATAGAAAGAAAGCTTGTTAGTGCAGCCCCTTTGGGACTGAAATATGGAACTCATATATACTCTCTAGGCTCATTAAACTAATGTAAAAAACGTGAAGTGAAAAATCTCTCGTAGACTTTAATTGTTTTACAGGCTAATCAATCACTGAAGTGAACCTCTCCAATTTCTGCATTTCAGACAGAATTTATTATTTTTTTTTCTACAGGCGCCCCATTTTTTGTTTTCATGGTTGCTATTCACTCATTATTTTTCATTTTTTCTATTCGTTTTTCTTAATTCATTGAACTAGTTAGTAAATAGTAATGAATCATCATAGTAAAAAAGAAACAAACTGATAGATTAACATAATCCTATAATTTTTTTAAATTAATTTTATATTCTTTTATTCTGCTATCTGACAAGTAGTGAGTTAAAAATCTCATTCAGATTTGCATCTCACTACTAACAACAGGAAAAAAATAAATGAACGAGAAATGATATCATGTTTTATTTCTTCTTTTTTTTTTTTTTGATATTAACGAAGTAAAAATAAAACAGATGGCTTATTCTATAGATGTTGACTAGAATTTATAAAGAAAAAAAACAGAATACATCTTATCGATTAGCATCTTTATTGGAATTTTGACGACGAAAACATAAAAACCATTTTTTAAAATATCGAACAATTCTTGAAAATGGTATTCGGCAACATTTACCAACTGGACCAATAATAAAACATAATGGTAAAAAGAAGAATGTTGCAAATATCCATGATGTAAACACTAAAATGAATATTTCATTATTTTTTCTTAATTAAACATACTAATTGGCATTAAAAATTGACCCATTTATCGAAATGAAGTAAGTGATGAAAGTGTCATAGAGAATTCTGCAGCAAATGTTGTAAATGCAGCCATAAATACTGCTGAACCAGCACATGATACAGATTCAGTTACACGTATTTCACGTTCAATTTGATGTTCTTTATATAATAAACGACATGTTTTAATTTCTATAGAAAACAAAAATAAAATATAAAAAAAACAATTTACTATAATCCATTTCTAATTAATGATTATTATCTGTTGCTAATGTTGATGATAAATAATATCTTTTAACTTTTTTTTTCTTTCATAATTAATATCATTAGAATCTGTATGTATATAACCAACACCAAAATGAACAACTGGAAGACTAACAGACATAATTATAATAATAGTTTCAATAATGCCCAATTCTCTTTCTAATGCAGCAAATATTGCTACACTCATAGCTAAAAAGAATAAAAAATAAATAAATGATTTCCTTAGGTATTTATTTTTTTGTTTTTGCTTGTTTAAAAATTCATTTACCAATAGCAAAAGTAATTGTAATTAATTCATAGAATGCAATAAATGAATATTCTGATGTAAGAAAAAGTACTAATAATGCAATACCAAGTGATGCAATAAGTAATTCACGTTGAATACCATAAAATGCAAAACCTGGTGAAGAAAGCCATGCATGTTGTAAATGTTCTGGTACATGTTGTTTTATTTATGGATCAAAGAAACTTTTTACTTTGAAATAATATTGATTATATGAATCATAATCAGTACGATTGAGAGCACCTAAAATAATTAAATGAAATTTTTCTTTAAATTGAATACAAAAGTTTGTTTACCATGTTAGGCGATCTATACTGAAGAATTCTAATGATAAAACCTCAAGTGTAATGTAAATTAGATATATTTCATCTGTGAGAGTTCTCTAATATCTGAATCAGTAAATATTAGGTAAAAGATGCTATTTGTTTTATCTATTAGTTGTGAAAAGCAACAATTTGTTCTACTGATATTCTAGAGTGAATATAACCAAATAAATGAGAATTTGGGTTTCAAAAGAAAATATCTTAACAGCTGAATTTTGTGTCCAGTTACCATCAGCAACGCTACCCTAACTATTTTGCCCGACGATGAGTTTATTGAAGAGTTTCTCTTAATTATTCCGCCTATGTTATTTCTTTTATGTAGATATCTAAACTCAAGATTAAAATAATTAACCAATATCCGTTATAAGCAGACCGAAATTGTTCGTCGAGCCCACTAGAAAAACAACCTAAGAGTTTTGCATGATTCAATCGAGATAACTCTTTGATCGTACTTGTTACACGATTATATATTAGCCGATTTTCTTTCAGTGGCAACTCTGTAGATTAATTTTATAAAACAAAAGTCAATCAGTGAAGTTCCAGCATGATCCACAGAGTCTCTTGTCCTTTCCTCGATATAGAGGCTTAACTACAAATGTACAAAAACCAAGTTTTTGTGATCTCAATATCGACCTAGAGAAACTTGTTGCAAAATTTTTTCTTCGATAAGATCTAAAACTTTCTAAATTCTTATTGTGAAATCATTCAATCCGAACCAGTAAAACATCTGCCCAAGTCAACGATTACCATATTTGCTTTCAACCTCAATAAACTTCAAATATTATTTTCGCACATTTTCTTCAAATTATTTTAATCATAATTCATCTGATGTTTCTCAACAAATTTTGATTTGAAAAATTTAGAGTTTTACAAGTAACTAACGGAAAAAGCTAAGATATATTTAATTAATTACCTTGAATACTAACAATAACAGCAAATGATTTAACACTTCTACCAACAGATGATTGTTTATCAGATAAAACTGTCCAATTAACAGAACGTTGTTTATTAAGTTGTGTTTAACAAAAATCAGCTGATACATTATTAGCACCAACTGCACCTGTTAAACATTGCATAGCTGTTTTTAATGTTGAACGTTGATAATCTTCAGTAAGTTTATCGCGTATTGTACCATTTAATAAATAACGCAGTTCATTAAGATCAAAACTATGTTCAACTTATAGAGTTAATTATTATTTTATTAAAATAATATGCTTTCTTTTTAATTAAAATTATTCAAACTTGTTCTTTATAAATTTTTTCTAAAGTTTTATTAAATAATTTTCGATAATTCGAATAAATAATTAATGGATTTAAATTATTTTTTAATTGTTATATACTAATTATAGCTAATGTTTCATTTATTTTATTAAATTTTCTATCAATATTATCTTCATAATCATATTGATCATTTTCAATTTTATAAATAATTGTTTTTACTGTATCATTAACTAAATTTTCTATTAAACTTATATTAATTTTTCTAAGATATTTAATCATATTTAAATGATTTGTTTATGATAAATTTAATTTTGCACGATAAACAGCTAATTTTGACATTAAAATATTTTCTGATGTAAGCGAAAGAAAAACAAATTTATAAGAACTAAAAATTTTAAAAAAATCTGTAAATTTACTTGATAAAAAGCTTCAAAATCTCTTTCTAAATCATAATTTGAAGCAAATAAATTATTTCGCGTTCCTAAATATGAAACAAATTAGTTAAAAAATTCAAGAGTTTTTTGTCGTTTTAAATAAATAGGCATTAAATGAAGATAACCACGATCATTCATGTCCAATATATATATCCATCATCAATATCACCTATACCAAATATAAATGATACAATTCGATAAGCAAATAAACGTTTTTCTTCTTTTAAATAACCATTAAAAAGATTTTTCATTGAAAATTCATAGATTTCTAATGGATTTTCTTTTAAAAAGAAAGAAACTTTTTATGTTCATGGAACTTCTAATTTTGGATAATGAAATACACCAATAAAATCTATTATACTCGAAGATATAAATAATGATACTAATACATAATGTAAATTAATTATAATAAGAGGTATGAAGTAACCAAATATATTATTTCGAATATCTTTACAAATAGATGAACAACAATCACATAATTTTGTTGCTGAATTATTTGATGATGTATTAACAACATCAGTAAAACGAATTGAAAGTATACGAGATATTATATTTTGAATATATTTTTGCATAAATAACTTTAAATAGAAAATAATATATATATTGTATTATGAAACATAGCAAAGACGAAGTTTTTATTTATGAAATAGGTCGCTTTTTAGAAAAGATAAATTATAAACTGATAGCTTTTATTTTTCAATGAAAACAATTTGTTTTTGTTAATTTAATCTTTAATATAAATATAATAATTTAACTTACAGCAAAAGCAGCAATTGCAGTAACTGTAATAACAAAACAAAGTAAAATATATGTTCTTGTAAAAACTCCAAATACTTGAACAAATGAAATATTTGTTAACATATTTGTAAAAAAAAGCAGCTGATGTTGTAAATGATGTAACAAACATTGATGTTGCAACATGTTTTAATGTTTTACTCATTATTTCTGTTAATATACTTGTTCAGTTAATAATAATTTTTGAATTACTTCTGGATCATTAAATGATCTTAAATGATGACGAGATTGAAATGCATTTGATGAGCGTTTTTGTTTTATTTGATTTTACTGTTTCATTTGTATTTATAATTTCATCTGCATTTGGATTATTGAATAATATATCATCATCTAAAATAAATGTTCTATTTAAAAAGAAAGAAACTAATAAATTTACTATCCATATGTTGTTTATCTTGATATTTTTTTTAACCATTCAATTGTTTCTTGTTCTTATGTATCAGAAAAAAAACAAATATATCATCACAACCAATACCAATTACTATAAATGCTGAAATTAAATTCATAAATGGAAATATTGGTATACGATAGATCGCACGATAAATAAAAACAACTTATACCAATTCATAAACCAGCAGCAATAACAATAATTAATACTGTTGCAATTAAAACAAGAAATACTTAGGTCAGTCCAAAAGTAGTTGCGGAGGTATGATAATCCTTCAAACGAGGGTTCGATAATTTTTTTTCTATACAGTCTGATAGAGAAAAGAAAGCTCTATTTTTCTATGCTATTTGATCTTATTCAGACTAATCCTATGATAATAAAATTTCTATAATACTTGTTTTGGTCGGACGTATGCTGGTTGTACTATATCATATTCTGTGTTCCATATTACATGGACTTAGAATTCAAGTAACAGATTCGCTGAAATATTGGCATTTTTATGATCTGCTAAAAAGAATCTTTTCTATGTAGTGTCATCGGCTAACGTTGTTGACACAGGTTGGTTGATTTTCTCCTTGCAGTTCGACATATATACGCCTGAAGAAAAATAAGTACTCCCTTTGGATTGATATTGTTTCCAATCATAATGAGCTTATATTTTGGTTATATGGAGGTCTTAATGAACCCTAATCGCTTGTTCTACCTTGCTCTCGATCAGTTGAGAAATTCACTGAAATTAAGTGTCCAACATTCTTATCACCTTGTGAGGACGATATCTCAACATTTATCTTCACGGAATTCCTTATTCGAAAGCTCAATAGTGCACCTATCTTCTGTGAGAATTTCGTAAGAAACATCTTGAAATAACAGTCATCTGCGGACCACGTTGAAAACTACTGCTAAATGGTAAATTCTACTTTTCACCTGGGTACCTTAAACTCGAGTTGGCTGGAACCAATCTACTTGAGGATTTTAACGATTAGCTAGCCTCCATGAGATCATAAGTTTCCAGTTGAATTTTCAGAATCGCTACTTAACGTAAGGTCAAGATACAGTCATCAGAAAATTTCGTAACGAGATAGATGATTGCCAATGAATTAAGTCCAAGTATTATATGGCAAACTTTGAATCCAAGCAACTAGTTGCCTTGAGTGGTAATAAACGCTTAAAAAAGACAACAATAAACTATTGAGATAGGAAACATTAAACAAAAAATTTCTGTGATAGTATTTTCCTTCAAATTTTCAACAAATAACAAACAGTGTATCTACATATCCAGAACTCTCGTATACTTGTAAGTTTACATTAGCTTTGAAAAAATACTATTTTAGAGTCAAAACAGTCAGAAAGCATGTAGACACGGCTAACTCAATCACGCAGAAACTTTGACTATGTGAATTATTCTTCTTTACTATCGTTTTTGATTGATGATGCCAATGACAATTGTATTATGCGACTTGAAACGAATCATGTTTTCTATGACTCATTTCGACTTGTATTAGCGTGCTAAGTTCAGATGATCGTTTGATCTAACTCTTCCATTTTAATCAGAAATTGAATACAGTTAGAAAATCGTTTTACTTGCAAAAACAAACATAGTGTATCTGTATTATAAATGGTCTAATAATGTCATACTATGTGTTGATCTGAAATCTTTTCAAAGTATTTTTCTATTGACATATGCTTCGTTAAGTGTGGGTGTTATCGGAGATATAATGAACCCATACCTACACCCACATCCCTTCAGTTCTGAGTTGAAGTCGTAATGTTATATGCGTAGGTTGATGAGATAAATGTTCGCAGATTAAATATGCATAGATCGAGGCTACTTCTTCATTGTGAACACTTTTTTGTTCAATTAACGAGTATTGTAGAATCACGTAAAATGTATATTGGGTCTAAAAGTAGGAAAAAAAACCATTAATGAGAAAATAAATTAATATCTAACTGTACTTATGTTCATAGTCAAAAATATATATCGATAACGAATAAAAATGAAATTTGTGTTCATAAACAAGCAAGATTCAAGAGATCATTATTATTAGACTTGTTCTTGCTCAATACGAACTATTGTTGATTTTTATTACTCGTGAATACATATCTAATACATGAGATAATTTCATTCAGAATGTATATTAAAAAATGATGTGAACAACACGTATCTTGTAACATTAGAGTAGCATCAAAGAGATGATATTCCTTCTTAAATCAAACTATTTGCATTGATCATCTTACAGTATAAAATAGCCCTTAATCAATCAGTACTAGTCTAAATAGTACAACCTTCTGAAAATAGGATTCGAGGAGATTTAACAGTAGGATTCAGTCAGATTTCCAGCATTAGAAATTCGAATGTCATTTCGTAAACCGATTTCCATTAATATTGCTATAGAATTTAACTAGATCTTATAAAATATTTTTTTTATTACCTTTTGAATAAACAAAACAGAAACTGAGTTCATTGTTTTATACATTAAATAGGCTGTAAATACATTAATCGAAAAACACAATTTACTAAACAAAAATGTATTTCGATAGAATGAACACATCACATTTTTTGTGAAAAAAATTGATTTCCATTCGTCAATCATTATAATTTCAAGGATCCCTTTGAAAGATAGTAACTGCAATCAATATTTCGAATAGAAGATGTATGAAACCAGTGAAAAATGTCTAGAGCATCTATTAATTCTAGTGTATAAATTTCATTTGATTTCTTGCTTGGAACAAAAATAGACATAGTATACTACATACATTTTGCAAAAGAAATTTACATATCGATTCCAAAATTTTAAGCACTTTCTATCGTTGTGAAATAAATCTTATGTTTGTTCTTTTTCTTTCATTTTCTTGTAAATATCTCAAATATTGAAATTGTGCGTGTATTTATTTATCATTTATACGTACCCAAAATCAATTTGGATGTTTTATTACTCTTGATTACGTAATCTTTACCATATTTTTTCTTAATACACAAATCTTTTGCAAAGTCACTAATGCAAAATAAATTCTTTCATAGATATATATTTATTTTCACCTCTTAGTTTCACAATTAATTAATTAAAACAAAAATCAACAAATAAATAAATAAATATGAATGAGAAAAAAACGATACCAAATGAGATTAAACTTCAACAAAATTTGTAGCTAAGAAATCAAGAATATTTTTAATTCGTGGTACACTATTTATAACATTCCTTTCATTTCTAAGGACAGTATTATTTTGGTTTTTTTCTTCACTTGCACTATCATTACTGTCAATTACTTGACATTGCTTCTCTCTTTTTAAAATCATGACCTTCTATTCTTTGAAATATTCTCGAGAGTGTAATCGTTAGTGTCATTTCATAGCTGCTGCTGATGGATGGTATAACAGCGAACTGAACATGTTCATTTTTGAAGTGCATCTTGAAGTGATGAACAATTGTAATCAAATACTATATTGATTGCTGGACGAATACTATCTAGTACTCATTTCAAAAGAGAAGAGCCGTGGGTATTTTTCTAACAATTTTCGATCGAAAACAGATGCGGTCCTATACGGTTTTCACTTTTGAAAAGAGGAGATAAAGGCGCATCAAATCAGATATTACAGATTTTACTAGCAAGTGTTTTGGGAGTTTCTATTAAATTTTTTCAAAAACATGTACGTTTGGGCTCAATTGGTACAGAAATGTTTCATGAAAATGTAGCGAAAAAGTTGAATTTTCGCCTAATTTTCTTGAAAAACCAGGTGGAAGTTCGCAGTAAAATGCCTTTAACTCCTGAACATTACAAGTTAAAAATGTGGGCCTACGTAGTTTTGTAGATCTTCGATTGGTGATTGCGATGCACTTCTAAAAATCGAAAATTCACTGTGTTGACTGAACGCGGTACATGGTTTGTCAGAACCTCGATTAAAAAACACTCAATAAAACTTGTCGGAAAAGTATGTAATACATAATTCGATGCGCCTTCATCTTCTCTTTTCAACAGTGAAATCCGCTGGGTCATATCTGTTTTCCATCGAAAATTATTAAAAAAATACCCACGGCTCTTTTATTTTGAAATGGATAATAGTTGTATAAATATCATTTTGTCTTAAGACATTGTGCTACAATCGAGGGAAAAGTATGAGCATTATTTTCTGTTGTTTTTTTCGATTGTTAGAAACTTGATTTTTTGTCTATGTGCTAAGCTTAGCTGAAATGAGAAAAATGTACAAAAAATTTGTTTTATAGTTATTTCAGTAGAAATATTCATCCCAACTACAGCATTGAAACAAATAAATCTGACAAGTGGAATATTGGTTGCGAGACCATTTATCAATAAATAATCAACCATATGATAATAATCACAAAAACCTTGTTCAATTGACAATCAAATGGGTAAGTCATAAAATTACAAACATATATTTATATTTAGGCTTTTCTTGTCTAGCATCACTTGTTCCAAATCCTGTATTAACAAATAAGCCATTTAATCAATGAAAAAAATAAAAAATTAACTTGCTCCCTTTATTAATCAGATGTTCAACCTATCAACACATATACAACTACTCAATGTCAAAAATGTACTACATATTTAATTGTTGATGGTAATCAAGTTCATGTAAGTGATGTTTTTCATCATATTCCGTCTAAAAAATATTTTCTTTTAGCTGATTCAGCTAACTGATGATATTGAAAAGCCAACTATA